GTAAAATTAAGGTTACCATTTTTCCCTCAGGACTGGAAAAAGTCTATCTCTGGAAGGAAATAGCCTATAGAAAAATTGTCTGTAATTACAATCAAAAAGGTTTCAAAGGCTCCCTGGGCACTTTTTGTTCTCTCTCTCTGCCTCTCTCACATTCTCTAATAGGCCTAAGACAGAGTGCCTGAGGTATTTTGCCAGAACAGAAATGCCTGGTTGTGCTGCAGAGCTGGTCCTTAATACAGAGATCACACCTGAGCAGGGATCGTTCTCCCAGATGTCCCGAGGCCTGGGTGACTCGAGGCATTGAGGTTTCCTCAGGACTCTACCACTGTGAGACAGGTCCATTTCTGCCTAAAGATGAAGAAAACAAATAGAACCTTAAGGCAGGATTTTAAGGAGGTTAACAAATTCTCATTAATTCTCACGAGAACAACTTTGCAACCTTTCCATGAGCTGTGTAAAAGAATTTTTTGGGGGGCCTACCTTCTATCATCTTGCTTTTCCATCTGGTAGAATTTCAACAGTTAACTCCCTCAGACACTTGATAGAGTTGAGAGCACGTTGAGAGTTTTGTTTTTCTCAGTTGATTCTTATAATTGTATGGATATCCTGATACACTGTTCATGTGTTCAGTACCCTCTCTTCATTTGACAGAGGATTCAATTGAATTACACTCTCACAGAAGGTCCACTGTTAGGTTTGAATAGACTAAAATCAAATAATTTGTAGTCCTTGTTTAAAAACCTCCTTGTTTTTCTTCTGTGCCCATTTTATTCCTATTGCAATTGTACTGTTAGTCTTCGAATAGTGAACTTGCAGGAAATGAATTGCCAGTAGACAAGCACAGAAAGCTTCAGAGTTAAAATAAATTTCCATTTAACTTCCAACAAGGTAGGGCAGAACACACATTTCTGTGCAACAAGGTCAAACATGAACAATCTTTCCAGCCTTTCTTCTCCCTCCTCCAGCTCCTTCATTTATCTGCACACAGGCAAAAAGGTCCAGTTCCCATTTGGATGCACTTGGATAAGAGGAACATGGCACTGAATTCCTGCTGGGCGCTGGGGTTTAACTGCCTTCACCTTAAAATAACAGAAGGACTTGACTCACACTCCTACATCAGTATGCCATCACAGAGATGGAAGAATATGTGGAAAAAAAGGGAGAATGGAATTGCTGGAGATTGTCTAGAGGATAGCAGGATGCACAATGGTTTTGTTGCAGAGTTAGAAGTAGCTAAGCCTCTCTGCTACTCTTAGAAAAGTCAGTTTTATTTTACATACAGAGCTGTAGAAACTCCCTCTAGGGTAGGATTTCTTATGGCCACACTTTATTCCACTGCAGGAATAAAGGAGAACCCTAACTCTTTTTCCTGAAGGACAAAAAAGAAAACTAAAATCTTGATTACTCTTAACACTGTATTTTGTATAGAACATGTCTTCTATACATAAATAGTGAGACAGCAGAGTTCTTATTTTCAGAGCTTCTGGGAGAAATAACAGCAAGAACACTTAAAGTGTGAGGTAACACATGATTCTCACCCTTGTGATGTCAGAAGACTGCTCTATTTTTGTTTTCATTGAGATACTGTGGTTTCATAAGATGGAAGAAATATATAAAAACATATATATGCATATATATATAAAATGAATTACTGATGCATTAAATGTGTCATAAATACATGCAGTCCAGCTTCCAAATTTAGACTGCTTTCAGAAAGAGTGAAGTGGTACAGTTAAATATGCTTTTTAAGCATAAAATGGTCAACTGCTGCTACGAGTGCCAACATTAGTGTCCTGTATGGGGGTGTTATTAGAATTCCAAATTATGTTTAACACACTAGCAATTCATCCAAGAAGCCTATTGAGTCAGGAAAAAGCCTTTCTGAGGTCTGTGGAAATTACATTGTACCACGTAAGTGACCCTTGGCAGGCTGTCTCCTCCTCTGGCCATTAAGAACTGGGGTGGGAAAACCTGACGGTGTCCAAGTGGGCTGTGATTCAGCTCTTAACACAGCCCTGAGCAGTCTCAGAGTGTGCTGGCCCACACCTGTGACTATTCTGGGTGCATCTGTACTGGCTGAGCCTCTCACAGGAGGTAGTTAAGCTAAAGATAGTTTGTGCCAGTGGAACAGGACAAACCAGACTCCCCACGGGTCATCGTGTGGTCACTGTGCTCGGCACGGCGAAGGAAGTGACGGAGAGTTCAGAAGTTCCTCTCAGCGCCAGAGAAAGTTGGATTTATTTATCCAACTTAGGTGTTTCACACGTGATATGGTGATAAATTAGTGATCTTTTCTGCATATTGTTACATGAAACAGTTGTGCAAGACAGTGCTGTGTGTTGCTGGCCTGGAGGGCAAGGCCGACACCTTCTCTGTTCATAGGGTGGTTTTGTTTGTGTGAGGGTTTGTTTTGGTGTTTTTCTGGGTTTGAAGTCTCTATTTTTCTCAGTGTTTTTTTGGTCTTATTTTTAAGATCATGAAGAACTCTGTGGCACCAGTTATGGATCTTTTTGTCTAAATGGAGGGATTTGTTATATGATTCCTACTGTATCCAGTCCGTTCTGCAGGTCAGTGAAACTGAAGTTTGTGTGTCTAAGTATTGGACAGTAGCTGTCTAAAGACTATGTCTCCATTTTGTTTCTTTAGGAAATCACTGTTAAAATGTTATCTAAAAGAAAATATCTATTACCTATTACTTTCCAAGCTTGCAGAGCCGTGACAATATGAGACAAATAATTGTGTATACTTGGTTTATACTTGCTTGGCAGGTGCAACAGCACTCAGTTACGTATGCATTCAGGATGATGTCTATATTTAGAGCCACGTCTCTTCCCTCATTACAATACAGAAAGAACAAAATACCCTTTGCCTCATGGAATATAGACTGTAGGAAAGGCATTCAGAAAGGCAAAGTACATTCCCAGTCTTTCTTACAGATGAATGATATTACAAACATTTTTGTAACATAAAATGGCCTACCGTGAACAAAACAAGGAGGTACAAAAAATAATATGATCTTTTAAGGGGAAAAAAAAAAAAGACTGTAATTCAAGACTTACTGTGTTCTCTGAATCTTGCTGAAATACTCAGCTTTCCAGTGACAGCCAAAGACTACCTGAAAAAGAAACATGAAGGCAGCAAATACAGATACTTCCTACATCATTCCATAGCAGAACCATTCTTCTCTCTGAAGCCCATTTAGCACATTGGAAAAGTAGCAGTTCCTGGTTTTGCATGTGGATACATTTCCTGCATGAATACAGCCCTATCTTTTTATTTTCCCATTTACCAAGACATAAGATGCTAAATGAAATTCTCATTTTTCATGGTTCATTTACTAATTCTGAGTTATCATTCATCAAAATAAATTATGATTGATTTAATGGGTTTACTTAACAAAATAACAGGCATTCAGACAAATATTACATACACTTAAGGATATTACCTTTTTTGCTTCTATGGCAACTTCTGCTCCCTCTTCCATCTTGAGCTACAACTAATGATAACTGGATAAAACAGTTGAAGAAGGGAACAAAATCTGTTCCCAGATGCCTAATTAAAATATCTCTTTGTTTTGTTTGGGACAGTTCAATTTAAACACTTAAGCTCAAGCATGTAAACTCATTTAGTTAGATGAGGAGAAAAGAGACAGTTTTGTGATAGATGCTCATTGAAAAATATACACAGCAGATCACTGTCATTGTCCAGTGTCACAATGAATCACATCCAGAAGGGAGACTAGAGCTCCAAAGTGCTGCATGATGGTGATTTATTCTCTGCTAAACCTTGCAAGCTTGTGTGATAGAAAATGAATACCACACACACAAAAAGTGAAACATTTTGAAATACATGCTGGTTTTTTTTTTTTCTAGAAGGAATCCCATATTACTGATATTAAAATACCTAAATGAAAAATGAATGGTTAAACTAAATAGCATCAGTTACACAATTTCAAAACCCCTTCTTAACTATTCCTAGACTGTGTAACAAGGAAGATGTATTTGATGCAATAACTATAAATATGAAGTAACAAATCCTCAGAACAATTCATCCTTCAGGAGCACAAACTAGTCAGCAGAGATAATTTCCACTTTAACAGCTCCAAATGAAGTCATTTGCAGTTCAGGTGCTATAGGATTTTATAATCTGCTGAAGCAGAAAAGTAACACCTTAAGAGCATTTCTGTTATACTCAGGCAATCTTACTGCATTTAAATTATCAACTATTTTTTTTTCCGTATCTAGCGATTGATTATGAAGTTAGATGGTTTAAATAGCAGCATTCTATTTAAGCATGTCCTCATTCTAAGCATGTTCCTTAATCAGTCAGAGAAGGCTAATTATAGATGAGAAAGGTTTTGTTTACACACAGATATCTTAGTAATCAGCAGTGATGTGAATAGAAACAACAGAAAAAATGCATCACGATTCAGCAGAATTCAGGAAATATTTGGTGCTTTGGAACTTCAAGACTGGCATCATCACATGGTTGCACAAAGTTTCTTTGATGGAGGTTTCTGCCAAATCCCACCCAAAGCTCCCAAGTGTTCTCAAATGATCATCTCCCACCAAAAGAAAACTCAAATCACTTTTAGACTCAAAGGCTGGATGACTGATAGTTAAAAGGGGGAGATGGAGAAAGAACAGCCTAACAAACTGTAAAAATACCTTGAAACACATTTGCCTTGACATGCTACTTAGTTACACCAATGTGTTGTGCTAAACATAGTCCAGTTTACCTGATGCAACGTCATTGGAAGTAATTTCGCCACAAAACTAAGGAAAGTGCATCAGTCTTTAGAAATATGTGGTTTTATGCATGCTAACAAATTAAGAGCCACCGTTTACCTTTGGAATTTAAGTTATTTTAATAATTCAGAAATGGACATATACAAGGTAGAGATTTAATAGAAACAAACATTAATTGACACCCCCCCCCCCTTCCTGTGCAACATTAGCAGATTTTAAATACAGCTGATGTGTGCTGAAACATGAAGTTGCTCAGCTGCCATCTTCCCTCACTGCTTTCCTAACAATGAGTTAACGTCCTCAGCAGCAAAAGGCACACCTGGCACCATAAACCAGATGAGCTTCAAACCCAGGAACACTTAAATGTACTAAATAAACAGGCAGCAGGACAGAGAAGGATGGAAAAGCAGCTGCCTCAGGTGTCTCAGGAACCACAAGGCTGAAAGCATTTGCCTCAGCACCTGATGGCAGCTGTCCCAGAAGCATTAATTAATGCAGGGCAGAACAAGGTGAAGATTTTGTTTTCTGAGGGGGAGCTCTGGTGCTTCCATTTTTTTCTTACACTTGGCAGATTTCTGAGAGCATTCTTCTGTGTTTCAAACAAAATACAGATGGCATAAGACCACACAAACATAGCTCCTCTGCTTCGGAGGGCAGTACACACAAAATCAACAGTGAATGCTCTCCTTATGTCTTTGAAAACTATTAGCAATCAGAACTACAGCTGAAGATATGGCAAATCTTGCCACATAAACACATAGTTAAGGGAGTTATAGGGAAAAATAATCAATTCTTTCAACTTCTCTCCAGTAGGAGCATTTTCTTTTACTCTCTTTGTATATGAAGTCATCTTCAGAGTAACAGTTTTGAAACTCCCTTAAATGCAAAAATGTTTAAAAACCTGCTTAGGGCTTCCAGTTAACTTTGCTATTGTTTATTCACTTTGGCTTGAAATTCTTTTTCATACTTACTAGATGTCCTTACAGTGTATGGATTAAGACAACTTTTAGGAGCCTGCTACAGACTGAAGATTATGGTGATTTTGAAGCTCTCAGCCATGTAATCTGAGTTACATTGACAAGCAGATAATTTTTCAGCTTTTTCTGCTTAGACCTTTGTATTTCCATGCAAGTAATTTTGATACCAAGAAGCACTCAGGATTTTTCTGACTAAAGGAAGACTAAACGAAAACTAAAGTCAACACCCTTACAGTGTGATGCAGTGCAGTGAGAATCCAGGTGCATATTTGACTCAAGCTCTACTTCCATTTTTAAAGTCTGTCAGATACTTCCTTATGTTGCCCACCTGGGAGTCTGGCAGAGAAAGAAACCTCTCCTTGTTACTATATCCCACAGGCAGAGGACCCCTTGCACAGCCCCATAAAAGACAGCAGTAGTGCCTCCTGTTATAGCAAGACCTTCATGCTTCTGTTTTAGTTACTAATCAGATTTTAGGGGAGCAACAGAATTGCAGACCCACCCAATGCAGTCTATTTACTTCCACTTTGTACTGATGCTGACACGGGTGGTTTGGATTAATATCCTATGCTGAAAGGCTCTCTGGATTTCTTTACCTCTGCTAGTGTTTTGTCTGTAGCACAGCTCCTGTAGTATGTTTGTATACAACAGTTTGAGGCTGGCTCATCTCATCTGACAGGAGGCGTGGGTGTGTGTGCATGTGTGTGCAGGCACCTAGGAGAGCACAAATCTGGATGCTTTCTGAAAATGGGAGGTTTCAGTCACAGATTTCCCTCAAACATCGAAGACTGCTGTATTTCCACTCTGACTGAATTAGAAATTCTAATTTCTTAGAGGGGGGAAAGACCTCTTTTCCATTTTAAAAATCAAGTTTGGGATGCTACATAGTAGGACCATTTAGGCAACACAGAGCACGTGCTGAGGCAGCAGGCTCACAGCATGGAGGTGATGTTCTGCAGCAGCTACACCTCGCCTAGGGAGCACAAGACTTAATGAGTCTTATGCTCTTAGTCCAGCCTAGAACCAGGCTGCTCTGGTTTTACCCCAGTTTATTCAAGTGCAGATGCACCAGTGCCTGCCTTATTAACAGCTGCTCCTAACCTGGGCTCTACTTTTAGGCATCTGTTATAAACAAGATAAACTAGGAGTTTATCTTAAAAGCTGCTGGCTTTTAAGGCTGTGTCTGGTAAGCCTGACTACCTCTAGAAGGCATGAGATAGATACCATGGATTATGTTTATGGCCCACATGCTTGATAGACACTGTGTTTCTGACTTGCTTGCAGTCATTGCATAAGTAACTCCACTGAAATCATTAGAGCTCTGCTACAGGATAAGCAGGTCTTTTGAGTGAGTTCCATTGCTAATTATAGAAGTCTGCTTAGTTTCTCACCAACTTTAGGAAAGGACTTGCAGAAGAAACCTTTCCTGGTTGTCTTAAAGCACCAGTTGCCTTCACCTCTGTGTACATCAGGACAGGTGACTTCATAAAAGCTTGTGAAAGCCAATATTTGAACATCTGGATTTTCAGAAATGCCCTGGCTGTAGCACAGTTTGTTGCTAAGGTCACATTAGCTATAATTTTGTTTATTTATATGTAACCCAGAGGTACCTCATTGCAATTTTCCCGTTTCTATGAAAACCTACATAATTTTTAGGTTTTATGGCAGCAATTTTTACATAGCTTGGAATCACTTTGAGCAAGTGTGTCAACAGCTCAGCTTAGTTTGTAATCCCTAATCCACTGCACACAGTTAAACAGATACTATCAAACTAGCCAGTCATGAAAAACATGTTTCTCCAACTTGTTTTTGTTACATCCATGCAGAAGAGGTTCAGCATCCAGGATGTTTAGGTTTTGCATGTGCTTTTTTTAGTGCAGGGTTTTTTCCCGTTGCTCTAACCCTGCATTCATACTGCTGTAGTTTTCCCCTCAGAGTCTTAGGCCTTCAAGCTCCTTTCCCTCTTAAAGGCTTGTGACTACCTCAAGCATCTGGTTGTGTTTTCTATTTAGTAGGAAGTGCTACAATCTCGGTGAGCTTTTTTCTAGGCTGTCATCACATTCCCAATTTTTTTTCCTGTGGTCTTTTGCAGCACATGAATACAACTTCTATGCACCGATCATGTCACCTCCACTTCTCACAACAGTTCACTAACCCTCACCTTTTACCTGATCCTGTGTGCAACTCTCTGCAGCAGGACTGTCTTTTCTTCCTCCTGCTTCATTTGACTCTTTAGGTTACTGACTTACTCCCTTTACACTCATTCTTTAGAACTTTTCCATGAGCCTTAATTTGATGCCAAAACCTATTTATTTTTTTTTCCTTCCTGTATCATTTTAGCCTTGCATTATTCTCCAGTTTCCATTGGTATTCAAGAATACTTCTATGAATTTCATATTCCATTTTCTATCCCTGTGACTCTATTCAGCTCTCCAAAGCATTTCTCTCTCACTTGCTAGAGAACAATGCCCCACTCAAACTACACTTCTGTCCTTAAAGTATTCTACAGTATTTCAGAAATAGGCCACTGAAAAGCCACTACACTTAGAGTAAATATCTGGAACATTATCTCAGGCAATCAGAGCAGTCTGCCTGCCCTTGCTTCTCCCAGCAGTGACACATCATAACTTTGAAAAGTCTCCCATTGTCCTTGGCAGTTTGATCAGCTGCACAGCTTTAATATATGATGATAATTAAACAGATTTTTTTTTTTAGTGTCTAAATCTTCCATTCTATTTCCAAAGACAAAGAATTAAAAGAAAGAGTGGTAATTCTTTGTGGCTGAGACCAGCAGTACTGAAATACTGTCCATAACATACAGAAAGTGGAGTCACATCGAGCCTCCACGTTGGAAAGCTCACAGGGGTCCTTTTGTCTTAGTTACATGTCCCAGACATTTCTCCTTTTTGGCGGTTCCTCCCCACTCTCCCTTCTTATCCCTCATCTGAAATTATACCTTGCAGCTGCCAATGGCAGTGGAGAACTTCAAGTATGCTACAGAGTTCAGCCCATTTCTCTCAGCTGGAGCCTCAGATTGCTTATGTCACAGATTATTATGACTTCAGTGCCAGAAATAGCAAGAAGGAGCAAGATCTTTAGTAATACAAATAGAGGGAAGCAAATTTACATATATCAAAAATACATGCAGAGTGTAGATACTGAAAGAAGTGCTTTCCATTTTCTGTTCTGCAAAAGAAAACTTAGCAGAGTAAGTGCAAAATACAAGACAAATGAAGATTAGTTTAGCTTCAACCTATCTATTTTTGACCGAATGTGAATTACTAAGCCATTACTTCTATTTATTTTTAATAAAATATACCATTTTACCTTTCTTCAGAAGTTTTCAGAGGCTCAATACATAAAATAAGCATAGTAGAGAAGACTTACCTAGGTCTCTCCAGGAGAGGGTTATTCACCAAGCACGTAACATGTTCTGGCATGAATTATTACACTGCATAAACTACTTCTGCAATTTAAGGTGTACACCGTGTCTCAATGAATTCCCATTTCCTGGATCTATTTACCTGACAGCTCTTCAACAAAGGAAGCTAAAAGTTACATGAAAGGGAGAAAAGAAAGCATGGCTACTGTGTGAGAACCAGTGGGATGACACAGTTAACACTAAAGAGGTAGATTTAATTAGTTAAATCTGTCAGTAATGAATATATTAAATTTAATATATGAAAGCAGTATGGATCAGAATGTAAACTTGATGCCCAATGTGCCCAATTCCCTTTGTTCCAGAAATACAAGGTGAGAGGAAATTCCCTGAGTTGCTGCCCAGCAAATACAAACTTTGAATTATGTCATAACAGTTCTCTCCCCACTTAAGAGCAAAAGAAGCCTTTGACAAGTTACCATCTAATCTGAATACCACTTGGTTTCCCAGGTGTATTGAGCATTACACAGGAGCCCGTTGTGAGGAAGTTTTGCTGCCCAGCATCAAGTCCCAAACAAAAGGTGACCTGTTTGCAGCTTTCTTGGCTTCACTTCTTCTTCTAGGAGTTCTTGTAATTGGAGCATTCTACTTCCTTTGCAGGTAAAAGTGCTTCATAAGGCTGAAGCTGCTTAATCAAGTAGAAATTTCTTCTGGTAATCATGTACTAATTATCTGAATGTAAAAGCATGTAATGAATTATCCATAAGGTTGTATGGTTATTCAACATAATGAATGTGGGTGTCTCAACTTGTTGCTTGTAATATTTCACTTCCTGGCTTAAAGTTTTCTCAGTGTCTTTTCTAAGCTATTACTTATAGTTGCTTTGTAAAAAAATACAGGTAGTACACCCATGTCTGAGATCCACAGTCTACCCAGAGTTAGTGCTAACCTTTAAAAACTTTATGTTGTCTGAAGATTGAGAAGTAGAAGAAAATTGATGAAGTCCTTAGGGAACAAAAACTGTTCCCACTGAGCTGGCAGCCAAAGCAACTGGTGCCATTAGCTCCTAATTCCTCTGCAGCTCCTGGTCTAAAAAGGAAAACTAAGGAAAGAATGAAAGTGAAGAATAATCCCAGGCAGATATTTCCTAACTAACATTTTGAACAAAACAGAGAGCTAACTAATTTGTCCAGGATGATCCATGTTAGAGTAGCAGGAACATGTCAGTGCTAGACAGCAAGTGCTGCAGGTTTGGTTTTTGCAGCATTTTAGGCATATCAGGACTTGGAATGAAAACACACAAGCAGTTATTGGGATTAAAGCAGCTATTTGATGCTGTACATGTGTCAGTACACTTAGACCAAACCCAAACAAACTTACTGTTTTCACTTACTCTCTGCATTTATAATGCAAGTCAACCTTCTTTATTTTTAGAGTACAGCACTTTTTATAAGAGCTTATTTTGTCATACACCATTAATATGTGTTTATGCCTTTATGAGGCAACTTACATGAGTCTCTGTAATTCTTGGCCATCACAGACCTGCAGCCTCTTCCCCTTTCTCCTGTACTGCATTTCTCCTTGGCTGTGA